GTTTTTTATTAATACTTTTTGAATTTTTTGAATTTGTTTCACTGTGATAGAGGCTACTAACATGCAGGTTTTAAAGCTCTGTCTTATTTATTACGTGCTCTGCCACCCAGTAACTGAGGCTCTCTGGCTCATTCACAGCAACAGAAACTGCAATGCTGGATCAGGCTTTGCTGTATTAAGTAGCCTGGCCATCCGTTCTTGCACAAATTGTCTGAATCGGTGCCGCATTCTTCCCATCAGGTGCCTGGGCTCAGTGTTTGCAGACCTCCATACAAAGCTTGCTGTCCTGGCCGCCTTTTGTAGGGTGTCCTCCCCGTCAGACCCTTAAGAGTTAGCAGCTGAATCTGGCATGCCAGAATAACTTTACTTTTTCACTTCTTTCTGATGAAGATATTTGTTTCATAGAAACTATTAAGATGGCATTTGTTTTTGATTAAGTAGCTACCCTTGAAGTGAGTTGAGGAGAAATGGTGATTCAACCAAACATCCACAGAGATGACCCAGTAATTCAAAGGTTTTTTTATTTTTCTTTTTTTAATATTCTGTTTCTTTCCTTTTCCCTTCCCTTCCCTTCCCTTCCTTTTCCTTTTTTGAATGGCTTATTTAGAGAGGCAATTAATGTACTGCAAGCAGCACCTCTTGAATAAAATGAGCTTCTGGAGGAATGATTTGACAGCTCCGCAAGAGGGGATTTTTCCCATAGATATTACTGTGGTTGCTGCCCACTATCACAGCTGCCCCTAGTTAGCAGCAAAGGATACAGATTCTTTACTGTGGCAGATGATATGAGTACTGCAGAATTCAGGAAGAACCGCTGAACAGGGCTGTGGAAAACAAATGACAGCCACTCGAAACCTGTTGCTCTCTGACAACTTCTACCCCCAGCCCACCCCACAACCTCCGCCACCAAATACAATAAAAACAGCACAGTGGATGGCTGATTGATGTGGGTGAAATAACCAAGAAAGTTCAGGAATTCATCTAGGCATCATGAGCTGGTGACATTCATATTCTGAGCACTTTATTGTTGGACTTTAGTTCTGGAGCACCTTAATTACAGTTCAAATCTGTACCAAATTTTTTCTTCCAAATTTTTCTTCCACCTAGTTCCCGAGATCTTGAAAAATCTTATCCACACCCTCCTGAGAAATTATGGATCCCTGGACTGAACGGGACATGTGCTGCCTGCATGGCTAACATCTGTTCATAAGCAAGAGAAGGGGCTTTTGCAGGGGGGGTCTACAGGGATGCTTGTCCAGAAGCAAGCACAGCCACCTGGGGTTGTGACTCCTGCAAGCCCATGCGGACTTCCTCTCTCCATCCAGCTCCTGTTACAGCAAAGGATGCTCTCCGTGGTCCAAGCATGTTTGCTCACCTGCAGGGGGACTTGGAAGCAGCATTCCCGCTTGAGAAGGGGCTCTGGTACTCAGACGATAAAACACGCCCCGTGTGCAGCCACAGAAGGCACTGAGAGTGTCAGGCCCCATAGCAGTTGACAGCTGCATAGCTGCAAATAGCATGTTGCCCAGAGCTCTATCTGGATGAGTTATGGGGAGAGGCGCACTTAATTAACTTGACTTAAGTAATCCCTGATGCAGGGCAATGTGACCTTTTCGCTATGTCACATGCCACATGGAATTCCACATCAGTACAATGCTGTGTCACCAGCGATTTTTTATTTTATTGGGATTGTGGAATTGCACTTCCATGCAGTGACTGGTATATGTCACATCCCAGAGAACAGGTGCTCACCGATTCCACACGTGGGCACACAGAAGCACGCACGTAATCCCTGACTTCAAAGACAAGAACCAAATCGCCTCCACACAAGGTGTCCCATGCTGTCGCTGGCCTTCTCCCCCACTCCTCTCACCTGAGAAAGCCAGTCGGGATGTGGCAGGAGGAGGGGCCCCCTGAAGGCGTAGGGAAGCACACAGCCACCGTGCTCTCCGCAGGTGCTCTTTCAACCGTGGCATCAGGGCCGTTTGCAGCTGGATCCCACCCATGCGTGTGGACACTCGCAAACGCACAGGCTCCCGCCTGAGGCCTGCCTGGCACCAACTCGCTTGTCTTTTCAGTACCAGATCAAGACCCCCCCCCCCCCCGTGACAGGGCAGTCCACACACTTGGTTGTTATATCGAGCCATTATGCCAGCCGCTTAACAGGTCTCATGACTAAATTTGTGCAAGCTATTGTCACTTTTAAAATGTGGGTTTAACTGTGGCTAATAAATTTGGCACTGCAATTGTTATGATGTTTTTATTGTTATCTGTACTTTATATTTAAACCTTTTTATGTTCCCGCTATTTTAAAATTTAATTGAGTTTAACTGGGATTTTAGTATATCAATGGCCAGATGCTGTGGGGTTTGTTTTATTCTACTTATTTATTGTAAGCCATTCCGAGACATTTGTAGGGGACAAGATAGAAAAACTTTTAATAAATAAATATGGTATTTTGTGGTATTATATGTATGGTTGTAAACCACACAGAGAGCTTCAGCTATTGGGCAGTATAGAAATGAAATTATTATTAATACGGTAATACCCCGGTTCACGAACACTTCTGTTCACGAACAATTCGGTTCGCGAACAGAAAGTCTGGCAAAATTTTGCTTCCATTTGTGAACTCCACATCAGGTGACAAACACGATTGCAACCATCTTCTCTGCGCAAACGTGATCACGGCCATCTTCCCCGCACCACAACCACGTGTCAGAGAGTGTTCAAGCGGGGAAGATGGCCGCGATCATGTTCACATGGCCATGAATGCGGCCATCTTCCCTGCTCTGACACGTGGTCACAGCTTCCTCTAGTTGAGATCGCGGTCGCAGACGCTCCCTCCAAACAATAACCTCCTCCTCACCCACCTTCCTGTCCTCTATGCCAGAAGTCACCTCAAGCAAGGTTTGTGTTCTCTCTCTTCATACTCTACTGTACTGTACTTTGTTCCATATTTTTGCGGTTAAAAAATACATATGGTTCAGAATGATGTAACCTTATTTACATTGAACCTTATGGGGAAATCTGACTCGTTCGCAACCAGTTCATGGAACGAGTTAAGTTCATGAGCCAAGGTACCACTGTACTGCCAATTTTTTTAAAAAAAATTCACTCTCTCTTTCGGTAATCTCACAAACATACCACTTCTCAGAAGATCAGCATGGGCAAAATTGCCTCCTCTCTGTTATCACAAGTGCTCAGGGTCCATGACCGAGCACTTACACCCCACACACAAGGCATACATGTCATGTCACATGGAAGAAGCTGAGAAAACACACTGAGGGACACTTCCACGTCCCTCAGTGCGCCATCAGAGTCAAAATATGCAACGACATGGTACATCTTTAAACCATGGTAGGCCATGAAACGCAAATGAAGGAACCACCCAGATCAGCCACAATAAAATCTGTGGCAGGCAGCCCTGAAAGAAACAAAAGAAGAATCTCTCTTAAACTTTGAAAATCAAAATTGGTTTGTTTGTTTGTTTGTTTATTTATTTTCGATTTATATCCTGCCTTTTTCCTACGAAGGGCTCAAGGCAGCTTACATCATTCTCCTCCTCCATCTTATCCCCACCATAACAACCCTGTGAGGTAGGTTGGGCTGAGAGTCTGTGACTGGCCCAAAGTTACCCAGTTGGCTCCATGGCTGAGTGGGGACTAGAACCCAGATCCTCTGAGTCCCAGTCCCATGCTCTTAACTACTACACCATATTGTCTCTATAGAAGGGACTATGGTTTTTAAAGAGGCACTGAAATGAAAATATCTGGCTGTAGTATTATGACAGGGGAAGTTGCTTTGAAACAATGGTTGTTAATCAACTAAAAATGGTTTGATTTGGATCCCAGGAAGTACTTCCTGACAGTTAGGAGGGTATGGAATGGGCTTCCACGGGAGGTGGTTGAGGCCCCATCAGTGAGAGTGTTCAAAGAGAGGCTAGACATGCACATGATGGGCATGTCGTGAGCGGAGCCGGCTGGAGCCGGGGGTCAGACTAGATGGCCCAGGAGACCCCTTCTGACTCGCTGTGTTTCTATGTTTCTAAAACTCCTGTCTTCTTGATAAAGAAACAACAGACTTATTCAGGCCGCAACAAAAACCTTCTGCATTTTATTAACCTTCTGTTTGGATGAAGAAATCTTCATCTTGGCTTCATAACTCAGCTAGTGGATTGGCCCCATTACCTTTGTTATTATGAATATATTCATTTCAGTAACATGGAGACCAAAGCAGGGAACATCAAGCAACTTGTGATTCTGAGAAAGACTAGCATCTTATGTTCACATACATGAGTGAAGTCCCACTAAACCCAGTGTTGACTTACTGAATCAACATGTATAGGACTACACTGTTAATTTCAATGCAGTTTCCAGTGCTCATATTAGTAATGCTAGCATCTTACATAGCTGTACAGAAGCTATTGGAGCGGACACAGGAGAAATACACTGTCCAGAGAACTGAGAATGGGGGCGGCATGCTTGCATTTCAGTGCATTTTAATGATATTTTCCCTAATATAAACAGTGTTGTATCCTATCTATATTGGAAAACATTCCAAAATTCAGAAAAGTGCAAATTTCAAAGGAATAACATTCAGTTCGCACAGTGGTTTGAATGTCTGAACTTTCAGGTGTAAACTAAATAAATTTCTTCCCCACCCCTTTTTACAGCAAGGGTAGGCAGTAGGACCAATGGCTCTACTGGCAGTCCCTAGGTGATTTCAAGCGAATTAACAAGGTTCCCTATTATTTAACAGCAGCAATGACAAAAGGATTTCTCCTTGGACTTCTAAATTACAAATGGACTAAAGAGGCTTCTAAGTTATGCAACTACAATAAAGCAAGCTTAGGATAAACAGGAATGGTTCTGTTTATGGAAAGAACAAATTCCATTCAGTTCTGGTACTCAGAACTAATTCTGCAGTTTATAATTCTTTGATTTTAATGAGATTTCTTTTGCTAGTGGATCTTACATTTCTAGCTTTAAAAAGTAGACCACACAAGCTTGTATTAGATGCTTTTGCCATATTTATCTTGGACAAATCAATCCATATTTCACTTCCATCATTGTTTTGTTGTGGATACTTTTGGTGGCCCCATCATATCATCATGATTCATCTTACTGATTTGCCCAAAGGAACCATCAGCTCTCAGATAAATCAGGTAATCATCTGCTTAACTGACCACCAGCATGTGATTTAAGTGTCTCTCTTGATTGATAGATGAAGAATGTCTATCTGGATGTATGTATATATGTATGTATGTATATATATGTATGTATTTAATGCATATGTCACACTGTTAGCCAAAAAGTCTCTCTGGCCAGCTTAGAATCCATGACACAACAATAAAATGAGCCAAAACACATTTCAAGTTATAACAATAAAACAATAGGATAAAACCAGACTACAAACTATAAGGAAACAACAATACAATACTTTTAAAAGATCAATGTCATTACTAACTGCAATCTTTGTCTTTATGCTGGTTAATACTGGATAGCCTTGTTTTGCTGTGTGGAGATGGGTGTGGCCCCAAAAGGTAGGATGTAAATCAGTGGAACTAGCCACGTAGGAAGGGGATTAGTTTAAATAAGATTTAATCTGGATAAATAGATTTATCACTAGATATTAAACTTCAGTGATGACAAATGTATGAGTGCTACTCTTCCATGTAAATATGTTTTTCCATGTAAATTCCACTGACACAGTATCCCCTTAAGAGTCAAAATTACTTTTCCAAATGTTCCTAGAGAACACATTAGTGTTTAAGGAATGCCAAAACAAGCATTTAAAGGGAAGTTCAAACATGGACAGACATCAAATTATTTTAATTGGTTCTTCATTTTTTTCTTTTTGGATTTGTTTTTTGTTTGGTTGCTTTCTTTTTTGATCTAGGAAGATTGTTGTTTTATTTCGGTTGTTACTGACTCTATCTGGAATGTCCTTCCCCAATGGGGAAGTATGAGCCATGAGTCATTTTAAATAATAGCTCCACAGTAAAAAAAATGTCTTCCATTTTACTTTGTTCTAACAGATGTATATTTTCTTAATGCTGGGCAAATAGAACGTGGGAGAAGTAACCTAACTGGTCTTGTTAGATGTATTATTTTTGATTATGCAAATACATTATGATGGCAAATCAACACCACGATCCTGAACACGCTGAGTTGAAGGCCGGTGTCAAGGGATTTAACAGCACTTTCACCCAAAACCGAGTGTGAGCCAGGCACGTTTAGTCAGCTTTTAGAAGTTCTATTGATGTTTATGTTCAGGGTGCTACTCTGACCCTTGGGATCCATGTAATACCACTACTATTTAGCAGGTGAGGGCTGCTGTAGAGGAAAGTGTGTGTGTGGGGGGGGGGGGGGGGGAGAAATTGGTATATATTTCTGGGAGTATAAATGGGAGGAATGAATTTCCCCTAGAAGCAAAAATGGCAGAACCATCCTACTTTGGGCACATCATGAGAAAGCAAGGCTCCCTGGAGAAGACAATCATTCTAGGAAAAGGTGAAAGTGGGAGTAGAAAAGGAAGGCCAAATATGAGATGGACTGACTCCAGCAGGGCCGCCCAGGACAGGACATTTTGGAGGGTGTTCATTCACAGGGACTCCATGAGACGGAGAGAAACTGACAGCACAGCAACGAAAACAGGGCAGGGGAAGGCCAGGCCCCACCCGCTGCATACGTGGCCCCTGGGTTCAGAGAGCTGCCCCCCCCCGAGATGCTCTCCTCCCCGCTTCCCCGGAGGCACGCACAGCCTTCTCTCCTATCCCATCATAGTGCATGGGGAAATGGGGTAGGGTTGGGGGGGCACGATAGGATCGTTGAGACTCCCCCTGTGCCTCCTTGATGATCAGTCTGCCCCCAGCCGATTCCAGCAACGGGCAGCTGGGCAGCAAGGGAAAGCGGGCAGTGGGACGCCAGGGAGCAGATGCCTCATGCCTGCCCCCCGGCTGGGCAGTGGGGGACAAGTGAGCAGGGAGAGGCCGCATGCATCATGATCCAAGCCCGCATCTGGCCAGGTGCTTTAGGTCAAACAAGGAATGTCAGTGCCCCCCCCCCCACGCACACACTTTTGAATCTTATGTTCAGGATTTTCCTTCCTCTTCATTTTAAATTCACCCCAATTATGGAATATCTATGTGGTGATCGGGAGTCCATGCCGCTAGGACCACGGCATCAGGAGGTATCTTATCCTTGTTTCCCTTTGCTTTTGTTTCTTTTTTCCAAAGCCGCTCTTCGCTTCCCAAAGTTACAGCTCATAGCTCTTGTTAGGATGCCAGCTGACAGGAAAGTTAGCTTTAAAACCCCCTGCAAGATGAACGAGAGGAGGGTTATCTTAATGTAAGGAAACTGTGCGTGCTTGCATCTGTTTGCCCCCATTTCATTTCTGTCAGGTTTGTAATCCTAAAAACAGACACATTTTTTAAAAAGTGGCTAGTGCAAGACGATTACCCCTGCACATTATTCCTTCATTGCAGAGCTATGGGTCTTTTATACTGCAAAACTCTTAGTCTCACATACTAATTATTAAATCATTATGAGCTATATGAAAATCAAATTGTTGTATGAAACTCATTTTGTTTAGACAAACTATTGTAAGTGCAAGATTCTGTAGGAATGGCATGATTCGAGAAAAGAATAGACCTGAAATGAATTAGATCACCTTAATTACTTTCACAGTTTTATTGCTTAATTGATTGTTTTATTAAACACTGGCCAGTTAGTGTATCAGGCATAGAGCTTAAATTGTAGCCTGAAAAAGATAGACCTATCAGAGTACTAATATAAGCTGCCAATTTATTTATTTATTTATTTAGAAGGCTTCTATGCCACCCCATTCACCGAAGCCTCGGGGCGGCTCACAATAATAAATAAATAAGCACAGTATAAAACAATATAATACAATTTGAGTCGACCTGGCCCGAAAAATAAAATAAATATTTAATATTAACAATTAAAATAACGTTTGAATAAAAAGGTCTTCGCCTGGCACCAAAAAATAAATAACAATGGCGCCAGGTGGACCTCTCTGGGGAGCGCATTCCATATATTGGGCGCCACCGCAGAGAAGGCCCTCCTCTGGGTACTTACCCTCCTAATATCCTTCACGGAGGGTTCCCAGAGAAGGGCCTCTCCCACTGATCTCAAGGGGTGGGTGGGCATATATGGACGTAAGTGCTCCTTCAGGTAACCAGGACCCAAGCCGTTAAGGACTTTATAGGTCATAACCAACACCTTGAATTGGGCCCAGACTTCAATGGGGAGCCAGTGAAGCTGACAGAGAACTGGAGTCATGTGAACATAACGCCCAGTCCCAGTCAGCAGCCTGGCAGCTCTATTTTGAACCAATTGAAGTATCCGGACCGTCTTCAAGGGCAGCCCCACATAGAGCGCGTTACAGAAGTCAAGTTGGGAAGTCACCAACACATGTGTCACTGTCGCCAGGCAGTCATTCTCCAGGTAGGGACGCAGCTGATGGATCAGCCGAAGCTGAAAGAAAGTGCTCCTCGCCACCGCTGTCACCTGAGCTTCCAGTGAAAGCTCTGGGTCGAGGAGCACTCCCAAGCTGCGGACCTTGTCCCTAAGAGGGAGTGCAACCCCATTCAGGACTAAGTTCAGGTCCCCTTCCCCGAAGCCCAATCCGCCAACCAACAGGACCTCCGTCTTGTCTGGATTGAGTTTCAGTTTATTGGCCCTCATCCAGCCCATTACCTCGGCCAGGCACCGGTTCAGCACAGCCACTGCCTCACCTGGATTGGTGGAAAACGAGAGGTAGAGCTGGGGATCATCAGCATACTGATGATTCCGCAGCCCACACCTCCTGATGACCTCTCCCAGCGGTTTCATGTAGATGGTAAATAGCATGGGGGACAAAATGGACCCCTGTGGAACTCCATGGCAGAGCTGCCACGGCACAGAGCCATAGTCCCCCAGCACCACCTTCTGGAAACGGTGATTGAGATAGGAGCGGAACCACTGCAAAGCAGTGCCTTCAACCCCCAATCCCGCTAGCCTATCCAGAAGGATACCATGGTCAATGGTATCGAAAGCCGCTGAGAGGTCCAGGAGAACCAACAGGGATGCACTCCCCCCGTCTTTCTCCCTGCACAGGTCATCATACAGGGAGATCCAGGCAGATTCAGTACCATACCCGGGTCTGAAGCCGGACTGAAATGGGTCCGGATAATCAATTTCCTCCAAGAGTGCTTGGAGTTGTCCCGTCACCACCCACTCCAACACCTTGCCGAGAAACGGGATGTTAGTCACTGGTCTATTTTCATGCAACACATAACTAAAATTGAAATCACCAGGTTTGGAAAGGAAAGAAAGTGCCGGTAAGGGTGAAGGGAGGGCTGAAAAAATGTCTGGTCAGATGCCAATTCTCCCTAAAGGGTATATATCGGGGTGGCTATCCTTGTGGTCCTCCAGGTATTATGTCCTACAACTCCCATGATCCATGGCTGTGCTGGCTAGGACTGGTGGAAGGCATAGGCTAAAACGTTCAAGGGACACAAATTGCCCATCCTTGGCATACATGAAAGATCAATGTATATTTGACCAATTTATTAAGCTGCTATAAAATGTTTATATCTGAATATGCCTGATGATGACTTGAAGTTTTCTATGGCAGGAGGAAAGAAGAGGTGGAAGAAAAGCATTGCAGGGTGGTCATGGCCTTCCTCAGTTTCTAGTGTGCTTTCTACACTGGAGGCGGCCTTGGAGGGCACAGATGCAGGAGATGCCTCACATAAACAAATGAATAATGAATGTTGGATCCAATCCAGTGCCTCATAATTCGTAGAAGTATCTGGTATTCTTAATGCAAATGTTGAAAATGGCACAGGAGTAACTAAGTAAAAACAACCCCTACTCACAGCTTCTCGCACAAAGTGCTCACCACCGATTTTTGGATCCAGATGAGAAATGCACATAAGCCTAGTATTTCCCTTAAGCTGAAATAGCTGATTGTGCTGTATATTTGTGCACGCTCACAGCCTAGCCTTTACACATCCTTTTCTTATCTTCTTTTCTCAATATCCTTTTCCACTATATAGTGTAGCATGCATGCAGCTTTTCTTTAAAAACATTATCTGAAACATCCCATCTTTCAGATGAACCTGGCTTCCTCAATTTCCTGTTTTCAGAGCAGCTGGCTGCAAGGAAAGGATTTGGGGACATTTCTGAGGAATAGCTGTCTACCTCAGTTGGAAGCTTTTCTGATTAGTCAGGCTCCTTGATTTGGAAATATAAGGCTTTATAATAAAAGAAGGATACAGTGAAAACAGAGGGAATGAAAAGAAAACAAACCAATAAAGAACCTATCCTATCATAACAGTTGAAATTCTGGTATTTGCTTGCATTGGAATAGCTTCAAAATAAATGAAGGAAATGTGTATTTCATTAAAGGCTAATATTTGGAAGACAACAGAGAACACAATAATGAAAGACTTCCAAACCCAGATCTATAAGGGAACCGTGCGTGGAAAACTTCCTTCCCTCCTTCCCTTCCACAGTCTTGCTGTTATACATACCAAGGAGATTTTCTCAAGCTATTAGCACCATTGGTCTGTTGCAAAATGTCACAACTTGATATTTTACAGCCCTTGTTGCAAAGCTTGGTAGACTTCTATATATGCCAGACTTCAGTCATATTTGAACAGTGCCATCTACCACTGCATTGAAGCTCACTGATTCATTTGTTTTTACATTGCTCTAGCACCAATAGTTGAAGCTTTCTGTAAATAAAACTGAAAACCATAGAATGCAATAACATGATAAACCATGATAAACCAAAACATTACATGTTAAATCTATAGAAGCAAATCAATTTAAAAACTAAAAGCCAACACCTGTGCAAAGATCATACAATCCACCAACGTTCTTTTAAGGGTTAAAAAACCTAGGAAAATGAAACGGCCTTCACTGGTACTCAGAGAACTGCAGGGTAGGCACCAGGCAAGCCTAGCAAGCAGGGGAGGGCATCACATAACAAGAGGGCCACCCCTGAGAAGGCCTTCTCATGAGCCACTCACCTCATCCAGAAGGGGTATCCAGAGGAGGCTGCCTGGCACAGATCTTCAGTCTGGGAAGGTATAGATGCAGAGGTGCTCCTTCAGGTAACCTGACCCCAAGCCACTTGGACCCAGGAACAGACTGGAAGCCACTCAGCCCTAGCCGTGCAGCGTCCTGGCTCGGGGGGCTTGGCCTGGGCACAAGCCCTAAGCTTTGTGTCCCAGGCTCTGCTTTCTCTACTCTCAGCAGGAGCGACTGAGCTGGCGAGTAGCAGGAACAGGCCTTCCTCTGCAGTGGCATTTCTTCGTTCACCATGAAATACAGACGGCCCGCTCCTCCTTGGCCTTTAGGCAGGTTCTAAGCACTTTTTCTATTCCAGTCAATTCTGAAGTGGCTCAGGAGCTGTAGCAGTTTTATCTGCTGTCATGATTTTAATGGGTTTTTTATTGTCTGCTATGATTTTTAATCTGGTTGTTTTATCAGAACTTATATACTGCCTTTCTGAGCAATCTTATTAAGTATCAACATTTTAATGTTGGCTTTGTATGATCGTATGCTTTATTGACAGTTGTAAACTACCTCAGGAGGGCAGTCTCTTCTAAAATGTGATATTAATATTCATTAAATTAGAAAATAATGCATAATATTTTTGTGAAGAGAATACCTCTGAAAGGCTGCCAACAACATGTTTCTGAAGGAACATGTTGACCTGAAGTGGGGGAGAAGAACCAGATGCAGCTTCTTCCATGAGCCAGTTGTTAGTCTTTTTTCTATTGTACAATTCTTATCAATGCCTGTTGTTTGGTTAATTCTTCACTTTGTGAAGTCCACCTGAAAAGCAGTAAATAAATACCTTAAACAAACAAATTTACAGCATTCAATGTTGTTGGGAGCAGGTTAGATGGGCACCAGTGTTTTCCAGAGTGCCGCTCTAAGTTGCCACCTTTACTCTCAAGAGAGGTTTTGTGCCTACTTCTATCAAACCTGGGACTCTTTTTATCATTGGCTAGAGAAACAGGACTATGCATAGACTTGAATATGTTTATAGTTTAACATAAAAAGAAAAAATGTGGGGGGCTGACCCAGTGGGGCTGATGTTTTCGATGACTGATGCTTTTTAGTTTCTTTTTGTTAGGTATATTAAGAATAAAACTTATTCAAAAAAGTTTTGTGCCTTTGGGCAGCAGCAAAGCGAATGCATGGGGTGCAGGGAGGCAGAAACCTGGTCCTCTTCCTGTCTGCCTCGCTACACCATTGCTACAAAAAGCAGAAGTTATCATGCTGGATTAGGCCTGGGTCCAGCCAATCCACCATTTGGGTTTCAAAAATGCCTAGTCAGAATGCTTCAAGGAATTTACAAGCAGGTTATGATGAAAATAGCCACACTCCATTTGCTTCCAACCTCTGCCAGTCAGATTATAGCGCATACTAACATGAAGCTTTGGTTTCACTACTATGGTTTTTTTCATCATCATCATCATCATCATCATCATCATCATCATCATCATCATCTTGCAGTAATAAATCAATACTTTCTCAAAAGGAGTAGTTCTTCTTGTTTGACCCAATCTCCCACCAATCAATTTTCTTAAGTGTTCCCCTATTTTAGGACAGTGAAAGAAAAATATTTCTTTAATTAGTATAACTATATAAATCTCTGCTTGTCTCTTCTTAGTCAACATATTCTAAACTTAAAAACAAAACAAAACTCACTCTCCTTCGACTATCCACAGCCACCTTCTTTCATGTTAGTTTCCTCTCCTGTATCTTCTCCAGCAATAAAATACCCAGTCAGAGATACTGTAAAGAAAAACATTGGTGAATAAAATGATATTATAGTCAAAATGATATTACACTCAAAACCATGTGGCACCTTAAAGACAAATAGATTTATTGTGGCATAAGCTTTCATGTACTCAATGCATCACTTCATTATGAGCATTCAGCATTTTCTTTGATGTAAGCAAACTCAGCTGACTTTTCAATGAACTTCACTATGACGGCTAGAATGCCTTCCTATGTTCTCACAACCAGTTTAGTGTGTGTGTGTGTGTGTGTGTGTGTGTGTGTGTGTGTGTGAGAGAGAGAGAGAGAGAGAGAGAGAGCAAAAGTTAAATTATATATGGATCAGAATATTTCTCCCAACATCCATCATTCCGCATGTATACAGAAGCTCGACAGTGGTCTTTGGAAGCTTCCCTCCATGTTCTCAGGTTGCTCACCAAAGCCTTGCTGGCACTTAGTTATGGCAGGGAAAGAGGAAAAGGTTAATCTTTCTCCAACATACCATTTCAGAAAATATGTAAATGTCATGCAAACTCCCACTGAAAATGGCTCCTTTCCTGTTCCAGGGCTGGGCTTGAGAAGAGATCATTCGGCATTTTGACCACAAACAGCAGCCAAAGGAAGACTTCACCCAGTTACCGAAACACAACAACCCTACCCTACAGTTCTGGTGATTTCTGATATTAACATGAAGTTAGAGGGTCCAAAGCTGAGTGATTATTCAAAAATATACATATGCAACTCTTATTCTAAGTGAGAGCGCCCTGGCATCATAGATCAGGCAAGCTGATCTGACAAAGTAGCACCCTTGGAAGTAAACTGCTCCTTGCACAGCCCTTTCCCAGCTTTCAAATATATCCTTGCTCACTCCTGGGCTTATGTGCATTTTAATTACCAAGAAACTCACCCTCTACAAGGAACAGCCTGCAGGCAGTTCCAGTTCTCTGTACCTTTTATGAACTCATTTCTTTTATAAAGAGATTTGGGTCATGATTTTTGCTGACTTTTTTCCATGCCATGTTTCTTCAAAACCTCACAACAAGAACAACAAAACTATTTTCCCTTTCTTTACCCTTGCACTTTATTTTCTAGCCTCCAGCTCATCGTGGTCAGTGGTGATTCACAGAGACAGAAAATAAAGTCCCAATCACAGACAGGGTATTCTCTCCCAACTGCGTTATTTCAGCCCTAATTAATATCTGTGGATTCCTTTTGAACACACCTACATAACATCCCCCCTGCCAAAAACAAAAAACCAAAGTTTCAGGAACTTTACCCAGTATAATGACTGGCAGGCAAATTCTTATGAATGAGAGTCACGTCATATCAGACTGCATTCCAAGGGTTCAGGCAGTGGACGTGATGCCATAGGACCAGGGGAATGAGTGAAGTGACCTTTGCAATGACAATGGTCCCATCAAAGGGATAGGAGCATCCTGCTTCCACATCACTTCATCAGTCGATCCCAGAGAACTGTGCTTATGACCAGTACCCATGATTCCATTGGTCAATTTCACTTCACTGAGAGAAGTTTTAATTTCCAAATAATGTTAAAGTGGGGAAGAAAGACCGTTAGCACAGTGTCTAGAGCTGACGTAAAGGGGACTGTGTTAGAGCATAACGAGTAAGACTTGTTAGGATTTACCACACGTATCTGAGTGTGAATACAGAAGGCCAATTTTTCTCATGTGTGGCCTCCTTGACGAACAGCTGTGCAAGGGAAGATGCACTTGGGGAAGTTGTGCTAGGTTACCATTTATTTATTAATTTCTTTTCTATACCACCCAATAACCAAAGTTTTCTGGGTGGTTCAGAACAATTAATCAAAATTTTATATTGTTAATTTGTTGTATGTATTTTATTTTAATTTATGTTGTGAGCCGCCCCGAGGCTTCGGCAAATGGGGCAGCATAGAAATGTTTTAATAAATAAATAAATACATAAAATTTTAAAAGATACAAGAAAAATACAAATACAAAAAAGTACAACATTCCAATATATGAGTTTAAAACAGTTTAAAATCTAATATGCAAAAATATAAAACAGTAGATGCCATTAAATGCCAGGGCAGTTTAAAATAGAGGGCAGTTTTAACCTGCCACCAAAAAGATGACAATGTTGGTGTCAGGCACTCCTCAGCAGGGAGACCATTCCACAATTGGGGAGCCACCATTGAAAAGGCCCTCCTTCTGTGCATCAACAGTCTCACCTGGTGAGGATGTAAAGGAGATGATAGAGCTGTGGAACTTCAGCATACAGATGGCAGCACACCCCAGATCTTCAGAGGACCCCACTCAGCAGTTGCATGTGGATGCTGCATACCATGTGGGATCGGATTGACCCCTGAGGAATTCCACACTGGAGATTCCAGGCAATATTCCCCAAGCACCACTTCCTGGAGCCAGTCATCCAAACAGGAGTGGAACCACTGCGCACCCAACTCAGGCCGTCACCCCAGAAGAATACCATGGCCCATGGTATCAAAAGCTGCCAAGAGGTCCAGGAGCAACAACCTTGCCTGTGTCTCTGTCCTGACACAGGCTCTCATACAGGGTGGCCAGAGCTGTTCCCATGCCAAAACCACCCCATCCAGAGAGCTTCAGTGAAGGGGTGGCATAGAACCTAAACAAATAATAGCCACTTTGGAAGGGAGAGTTGGGTGACTCTACAGAAACCTCCCTTTGAGCCCAAAGGCTTTTCTGTGAGTTGGCCACTCATCCTTCTTCCTTGGGCACAGCCCCTGAGAGGAAGACGCTGCACAGATGGAAGTCCTGGATGGGCAGGTCTGGCTTTCTAGATGCATTTTAAGCATGGGTTGTGCATAAAAACGGTTTAATTGGCCTGAGTGGGTTGGATTTGCTTGACATGATCCTGATTTGGCAATATGA